ATTACAAATTTATAAAAAAGGAAAACGACGAATCACTTCTTTCTTTTCCGCACTCCAAAGTTATTTTGGTTTGTGCTTTGTAAATCAGCCTGACTCAGACATCTTTGTGTTGTATGTAAATGGCATTAGTTTAGACTATTTTCAAAAACAAACATGTCAAGTTTATCTGGGTCCAAAATTTCTATTGGGGAGATGTGTATCGAAGATTAAATAGAGTGCTGTATTCCAGGGGTAAAGAATGCCTGGTTTATGTTGATAAATCATCTAAATGGCTGAACTTTAGCCAGGAAATCTAGATTTAAATTGCAGCATGAAGGGAGGGAAGAATCAAACCCTTAATCTTATGGTCAAATTTTATTTTATTTGCAGTTGATCATGTAATACACCTGATTAAGAAGCCTTAAATATCAGGTTTTGTAATAAACTAGCTTTATTTGTTACAAAGTCAATGATCTGTTCACTTAGGTAGAAATCACTTCACTAGCTAACTACAGGAAAGCTAACTTTTGTTGAAAGATATTGGTGACAACTGAGTCTTTCTGCAAGACTTAAAATTTAATTCAGGGATTCTCTGCTCATGCTATTTAGCTGCAGAAATCCTTTGACAAGGGCATGTTACCCTAGTTTTGCAGCTGAGTTTGGTAATGACATTAGAAAGAGAAAGAACTCTCTAGTAAGTGAAATTAGGAAACTGTGTGCTTTCTGCATCTCTTTGCTGGCTTGCATATAGGTACTATGCAAAATCCCATTGCTGGGCAGAAATTTGGACTACAAATCAGTTTTGTGTCAGGAGCGGAATCTGTGACTAGCCCTGTAGTTACAGAAAAATTAAAGGCATTTCCATTCTTGAACAATTAAGTTTAACGTTTTCCTGGTTTCAGCTGGGAGAGTTCATTTTCTTCCTAGTAGCTGGTATAGTGCTGTGGTTTGAATTTAGGATGAGAATAATGTTGATAACACACTGATGTTTTAGTTGTTGCTAAGTAGTGCTTACACTAAGTCAAGGACTTTTCAGCTTCCCACGCTCTGCCAGGTGCACAAGAAGCTGGGAGGGTGCATAGCCAGGACAGCTGACCCAACTGACCAACGGGGTATTCCATACCATATGACGTCATGCTCAGTATATAAGCTGGGGGAGTTGACCAGGGAGCAGTGACCGCTCCTCGGGAACTGGCTGGCATCGGTCAGTGGGTGGTGAGCAATTGCATTGTGCGTCACGTATTTTGCCTATTCTATTATTATTGTTATTACTGTTATTATTATTCCCTTCCTTTTCAGTTCTATTAAACTGTCTTTATCTCAATCCACAAATTGTACTTTTTTTTGTCCGATTCTCTCCCCCATCCCACTTTTGGGGGGGGGGCGGGGGGAAGTGAGCGAGCGGCTGTGTGGTGTTTAGCTGCTGGCTGGGGTTAAACCACAACAAATGTCCGTGTAGAATTTTCCTTGGAGAGGTGTGTAATTAAAATTTCTCTGGAAGATCTGCTTGGTTGCAGTCTCACCAGATAATTATGTGATGACAGGGTTGTTAGGTAATTTCAAATGATCTTTCATAGTTACAGACGTGAAACTTAGGAAACCTGGGTTCTGTTCCCAGCTCTGACACTTACTTCCTGCTGTGCCTACGGTCAAGTCACTAAGGTTGTTAAGGATGTGTCTTTTTCCAACCATACCTCTAACTTGAAGAGGTTCTTGTCCCCAGCCTGCCTTGCTTGGGCATTGCCATCTCCATAGATCTGCTGACTGCGCAGCTTTTGCACTTTCTCCGTGATAAATTTCGACAAAACAGAGTTATAATGTGTACAGACTGCAATTTTAAGCTCCACAACTGCACCTGTAAACTCGTATGGCCTGAGATTCTGGTTTGGAAAATAGATTCCTCGCTTTTAATCAGTTGAGTCTGCTTCAGCAGAGGTATTCTCCTCTGATAGAAGTGCTTGTGCAGTTAGGCTTGAGTTGTATGGAGGTCTTTACTCTTTATAGTAAAAATGTCGTTAAACTCATCAACTTTCAGGTGCTCAGATAGTGGCCTAAAAGGGGCATGTAAATACTTCGGAAAAAATTCAGTGATACCCTAGTCACTCTGAAATTTTTCATTTCTCTTTTAATAACTTTCAGCGAGTGGCATGGAGATTAGCATTTATCACCATCAGAAGACTGCTAGTCACTTTCTTTGCTGCTTCTGTTTTTTCCCTGCTTTACATCTGTTTGATTTAGAGAGGAATTTTTTCAGGCTGTAGCGTATGACTTTCCAAAGTGAGGATGTCTGGCATTTTGTGAATGCCAGACATTTTCTGAGATAGAAAAGAGCTATCTACCTAGTCTTACTAATTAAGCGCATTTTTTCTTGCTTGCAAAACACTTTTATTGTTGCATCTTCTGGATTGATTTAGAAATAATGTGTCACCAGTGTCAGATATGCTTCTGTTACAAACATTGTTCTCTTTTTAAATTTTGTGTCAGCATTTAATAGGTACATTTTTTTCATCTTACTTTCATGCTTGTATTTCTTTTTTTAAAGTTGTATTTCTTTTCTTAAGTTGTGAACAGTTCCTTTCTTTTTGCTTTTGGCACCCTATATATTCTTTCCAGTCCTTTCCACTATCTACTTTTTGTCTCCCTGCTTCACTCTTATCTTTAAACAAGCTTTCACAATGGGCCATGTGACTAGAGCAGCCTTCCACTGCTTGTCATCTAAAGTTTATTCTCCTTCAAATCTCTTTGAAAAATCCCCCTTCCTTTCTTTCTCCCTTCTTTCTTCTGGACCTCTTCCTTTCTGAAGCAGAGTGTTTCTGTAGTAATGATGCCAAATACAAAAATGTATATGTTTGAGAGAATTTTTAAATTATTCCTTTACTTTAAAATGACACCATCCTGAATGTGAACATACCTAATGCCCTGTGTTAGAGAACTTTATTGATTAAAGAAAATTCTTGGGTGGTTATACCAGCCATTTTTTATGTAGCTTGTTGTGCTCACTGTTCATCACCCTCTAGTTAACTGGTGCAGAGTATCTTCTGTTGGAGTTCTGTGAAGTGTCAGTTTTTATTTGACATAAATCAAGGTCTGAGCCTGGTTTCACAAGTGGAGCAATACAACTGCAAAGGTAGTGTCCTCACCTCCAGTAGTGGAACTGGTAATGCCCTTTCTACCTGTTTCATCAGTTGTCCTTTCACTTGGCATCAAAGAGCAAGGAGACTTTGTGTATACAGCACAAAGTCGGTTCTAAGATTAGGAATGTCTGACGCTTATGCTGAAATTCACCACTTCCCAGGCAATCATTGATTCCCTATCAAACAACAGTTCCAAATTTAATTTCACTAGTTTGTTCCGTGTCTTAAAGCTTTTTGTTTCTTATTTTAGTAATTTTCTTGGCCTGTTAACCTGAATTATTACTGTTTTACTTGTTTGTTGTCTTGTTTGTTGTCTTTTGCCATCACCTGTTTCTCCAGGTCAGAACGTTAGAGCTAGGAAGGGTTCTGGTGAGTCATGTAGCCTCAGGAAAGGCTCAATTAAAGATAGACTTGAATGACCTAGATATAAGCCCTTGTGTTACAGAAACATTGCAACCTTCCCATGTGGCTTATTTTGGTTTTTAATTATTCCTTTCCGTAAGAAAGGAATTTTTGTTTGTTTTTCCAATATCCAAACTAAGTTTTCCTAGCTGCAACTTAAGTCTACGTCTGTTCTTCTTTGTCCTTCAGATTACCGCTTTCCTCAGTGGAACAGTCTTTTATATATTGGAAGATGTGCTAGTGTATCCCAAGTTTCCTCTCCTCTAGGCTAAATGACTCTAACTTGTTTGCTCTTTGCTTTTTAGATTGTTCAGCCTTGCGTTATATGTCATGTTTTCAGGATCTCGTGTGGCTCATGTTCCGCTACTCTGGATGCTGTCCAGCTGGTTCACAGTGCTTCAACTGTGGCTCCCATTCCTCCTCCAGCCTCCTTAGTACTGAAGGCCTTTTCCTCAGTGGGGTGACATTACTGACTCACATTCAGCCTGTGACCAGCTATAGCCTTTTGATCTTTTTCTACAGAACTCCTATACGGGCTTTTATTCTCTTTTTTGTAGATGCAGTTAATTGTTTCAAACTGCTGTATCTTTCAGTCTTCCGTGCATCTAGTTGGTCAAGATGATTTTGAATTTTTTCTTGTCATTTGGTGTTCTTGCAGTCCTGAGGTGGTGTCATCTGCAAATTTGACACCTGTATTCCCCTTCCCCTCGCAGAGGCAGGTGATTAAAATACTGACCATTAGACCTGAAACAGGGCTTTGGTTCCAAGGGACCTCACTCGGATCTTCTGTTTTGGCAGGAAACTATTGATAAGTATTTCTGAGTATCCTTTTTTTTTTTTTGAGTTTGCTTTCATTGTTGCTACCACTCATGTATGAATTCGTGGTAATGGCAGGAAATTGCATTTGAGGTTAGACAAAATGTTAGTTCTTGGAGATAGAACTTGTTTGAAAAAATACTATTGTCTAGTCAGATGCATATGCTTTTCTTTTTAAGCTGGTGAGAATCTTCAAAATCCAGTTATCACAGCATACTAGTATGACTTGTTTGTTTTGACCTTTTACTTTTCTCATAATCTATTTTATTAGGGTTATCATAAGCGCAGCTGTGAGGTTTTGTAATTTAAATATGTTTTCATCTCCATTTCTGTTTCTTCTTAAGTTTCACTGGGCATGATAGTTTGCATGATAGCGTGTATTCTCTATCCTTTTTGAGACTTAGGATTTTTTCTTTCATTTTCCAGAATGAGTACACAACCTCAAAATTGAGATTCCTCCCCCACCCCCCAATTTTTTAAAATTCTCTGGACACAGTAGACTTTAATTTACATGTTAATTTTGTTTCCCATTCAAAAGCCACTATTCTAAAACTGCTGCTTGATATCGGATATCTTTTTTCAGCACAAAGATAACGATTTTACAAAACTACAGTTAATAAAATAGCCTTTCTTGATGATCATCTTTTTTATTTTGTGTTTTAGGGTTTTGACCCACCGCATCAAAGTGATACAAGAACTATTTATATAGCAAATCGTTTTCCCCAGCATGGCCATTATGTTCCTCAGAAGTTTGCGGACAACAGAATCATATCATCCAAGGTAAGGAATCAATTTGTCATGGGAAAACCACTTGCTATGTTACTTAAGAAGTTGTGTAGTGAATGTGCGTGTGTGTATTACGTCTAATGGCACGTATACAATATTCAAAATGAAACAAGCTCTAAACTTTTTTGAGGAAAAAGCTAGGTTGCTTCCTATGTAGTTTTTCTCCTGCTCTCATCCCTCTTTCCTCAGAACCTAAGTACAGAACAATTAAGCATGTTAGAATTTCTGAAGAAAAGTAGGTTTTAAACCAGTGTTGCCTGTGTCTGGATGTGATGCACAGAACCACTTAAAAGAAGAGATGAAGTTGATTTTGAGGATTTATAAAATAGCCAAATTGTAAGCTAGTACTCTGCATAAAATAAATCAGCAATGGACTGCAATTGCAGATTCCCTCCTAGTGTGACCTTGGACTGGTATCAGTGGAACTGATGGTAGGGATGTGTCTTGTCGCTGTAATGTAGGAGAGAAAGTTACAGCTACAAGAATTAATTTCTTCTCTGCTAGCCAGGATGCAAGCAGCCAAATGACTCCAGCTGCTCCTATCCCGGTTGGTAGGAAAACATTTAAAACTTTGACTGTAAAGGCAGTGCAGTTGCTACCCCTGCTTCCCTGCTGTACTTAAAAAAAAAAAAAAAAAAAAAAAAAAAAAATGGATACAGCAGTTCTGGGGGGGGGTAGGACAAGACCAGAAGAAGGTTTGGGGGAGGGGAGATGGAAAATGAAAAGATTTAGGTTAAGAGATTTTAATGGGAGCAGAACTGAATTTCACTGAAAAATTGTTCAGTATGTCATAACTGTTCTCTCTCTCCCTTTTTTCCCTTCAGTATACAGTGTGGAATTTTGTTCCAAAAAACTTATTTGAGCAGTTCAGAAGAGTAGCCAACTTTTATTTTCTGATTATATTTTTGGTTCAGGTAAGTTGAATAATACTCAGGAAATAGCAATCTATGTTGTAAATTCTGCCACCGATTTTTGTTCTGTGAATTTAACTTCTGTACTTACATATTCTGTCTGTAAAAACAAAACATTTCCAGCTTCTCTGGGAAAATAACATAACTTTAAAAAGAATTATGTTCAAATTTAAGTACTGTCCTTATGTTTTATCTTCATGAATGCTAATATATTTAAGTGTACAGCTTCAAAGTCCATTGCACTGCCAGCACAGGGACTCAATTGTCTGCCTCAAGGTAAAATTTTAAATCTGTTAAGTTAGTAATAAAATTCCAAAGATGCTTTTTGATTTTTGTGGCCATTGGTGGTGGTTGAATAAACCGGGAGTTTAACTCTGTGTGTTTTTAAGTGCTTCTTGGACATTAGTGTGCAGAAATGCAGACATTCAAGTTCACCTGCATCAAATTGGGCAGTATGCTTGCTCTTGAGCTGAGCATAGATGATAGTATTTTCTTGTTGTAGGTGGAATCTTGCTTTTGTAAATCAACACACTATTGTCACGCAGTTCTAAGATCCTCAAATTCAATTGTTCCGATAAAATGAACACATAGAAATTTACAGCTAGGATTGACAGTTTGTCAGGTTTGAAGGCATCGGTTGATGTTGCTGATACAGTGTAGGTCAGAAATATTACTGTGGCTTTTGTAGCAGAATATATTTCTTCTAATTAAGAACATTCACAAGTATATTAGAAGTATGACAGTCTGTAAATTTTCTGTGATCTTTGCACCTCCAACTCTGAAATTGTGCTTGAATTCTGGTGAGCTATTGCAGATTTAGTAGATGAAGGGTAAGTGAGAGGAAGGTTGTAAGGAGAGATAATAACTTTTGAAAGACCAATTAATATCTGAGACAGAGGCAAGATTTTGGGTTACACAAACTTTTCTTTCATTATAAAATAGAATGCTTTGAACATGTACAGCACTCCATAGTGATTAACTAACATTCACAGTGTGTATCTGAAAAAGATGGTACCTCATTTGACAAAAAACAGGAATAGTGAAGAGTTCAAAAGATTCGTCTGTGATCGTGCAAGATGTCCATAGCAGGGCCAGTTCTGCAATTTTTAATGCATTGCCTCCTATGTCTCTTGCTCTTGTTCTTTCACATTTGGAAATAATGAACTTTCTAATAGGCTGAAAATTCCTGTGTTAGGAGTTACTAAAGTCGTATAGTTCTAACTTAGTCTAACAGAATGCATTGCCCATTGCATCTTCCTAGTGAAGAATATTGGCTTTGACATTCCTGTTATGATGTTTCATGCTGTTAAACATATTGTAGCATGAGGAAGATGGGGGCATACTGGAGATGGAACATAAATGTTACTTACAGTAACCACAGACGGTGTTGCATTTTTAAATCTTTTATTTCTTTTTAATGCAAATTTAACTCTTCAGTTCAATTTTGAGTTACATTCCTTTCAAACTGCTAGACTTCAGTAATATCTATATGTAATGTCCATGAACAAATATGGATCTGAAGGCAGAGCTTCTATTCAGAGTGTAATCCTGTTTTCTCAGTTCGTGACTCAAGTGAATGCCCTAATTTGTATGGGAAATGTCTTGTCTATATGTCTGTATTCTTGGAAACTGAACACGAGAAAAGTTGCAGTCATTTTTGTTCATTTGTTAGAATGGAATTTTGTTTTTATTCAAATCCCATTTGGAAGTTCATTAATACCTAGTAGTTTTTCTTTTTATAAGGCAAAGGTGCCTTTAAAAGTTGATCACCATGGTATCTTCTCTGTCATATGAATCTCATATGACCAAGATGCAGTGTCTGTCATTACCACCTTATCCCACTGGGGATGACAGAGCTGGGGCAAGTTCTCATTGTGTGATTTTAAACATGCAGCGCAATCCAATCCACATTGTTCACTTCACGTATGCATGCCAGAAACATGGTGACAGACTGCATTTTGGTCGCGTGAGGCTCCACACCAGTTGTGTGGTGGATGCATGTCCAGCTGCGTAGCAGGGTAAGGGCCATGGTGTTCTGGTGAAAGAGCCAAAAGGAGTAGGCTGCCATGACAATTCCACCAGCACAAAAATTGCTCCATTTTCACATATGAGCCTCTCTTGAGAAAGGAGGAGAGAGTGTAGATGGCAGAAATGTCATGGTTAACCCTATCCAGCCAAAAGTCAGATGGCATGGGTTGGCATGGGTTTTCTTGCCAAGCTGAAATTGCAGTGCTACAGTTGAAGAACAGGCAGGCTAGATCTGATTTTTGTTGTATTCTATAAATTGTCTGTGTTTCAGTGAAAAAAAAAAAATATAGCTCATGCATGTGTTGTAAGGTGGCATAATCTGTTTACTCTACGAGGTTCTTGGCTTTTAACAGAGTAAACTTCATGTATGATTGTTTTGTTTTTTGTTTGTTTTTTTTTTTTCTTCTTTAATGGTTCCCAAAGCAATGCCATACGTCTCAGGTAAAGTGGATCAAATCAGTGTCCATGGTTTTGAATAGTTCTTGTCTATATTTTCTTTACAGCACTTGACTATGTTGTTTTTTTCCTGCAGCAGAGGAGAACCACTAACATCCCCCTCACATACAGAATTTTAGTGTATACACTGCACTTTTGGCATGCCAGCAATAATAGCACAAATTGTAAAAACTGCATGTTAACTTGGGGGAACCAGAAAGGAGCAGTCTAAGAAA